AGTGCATCAATGCCAGCAAGACTACCAGCCGCCAGTGGAAGGAGTCTCCCACCCTATTCTTCAAGTTCACTGGCACCCCAAATGCGGTTAAGGAGCAGATTGGGATGGTGCAAAAGATTGTGTCTAAATATTCGGGAAATACCTTCGAGTTTGCCCGCGGCAAGGCTGAAATGGCAGAACTCTGGAGTGCTCGCAAACAGGCGCTGTGGAGTGTCATGGCGATGAAAAAGAACCCGGGTGACCACGTCTGGACGACCGATGTCGCAGTCCCGATGAGCAAGTTGCCCGATATTATGGAGGCAACCAAGGAAGATATGACCAAGAATGGCCTGTTAGCCGGAATCTGTGGTCATGTTGGAGATGGCAACTTCCACGGTAAGCTATTATTGCCTTGATTTGACATACCCCAGAGATCATTCGACATGTACTAACGGTGATAGCGATCATCCTCTTTAGCGACAGTGAGAAGGCTATAGCCGAGGGAGTTGTGCACCGCATGGTGAAACGTGCTGTGGAGATGGAGGGCACTGTCACCGGAGAGCACGGTGTTGGTCTCGTCAAGCGAGACTACCTCGAACACGAGTTGGGTGAAACTACAGTCGACACAATGCGCCGGGTAAGCCTTCACATGGATTCTTATTCATTTCCCTTCCTGCCCCAAATCCAAATATACCCTTTCTCTACGCCCATGAAGCACACCACTAATACTCATATCTGCATTCCTAGCTGAAATTGGCTCTTGATCCACTCCGCCTGCTTAACTGCGACAAGGTTGTTCGCACCGAACAACCGGCTCCCGGGGAGGTCAAGGAATGGTAGATGCCTGGTCTATTCATCCATTGCGACAGGATCTTCCACTAGCCCAACACTAATATCCGGGGCACTGCCGAGGTAACCTAATCCGAATCCGAACCAGACCGTTCATGGTGATGATGGTGGTGTCGGTGGTGTCGGTGGTGTCGGTGAGAACGTTCCTCATCGCTACCCCCACTGCGAGAGCCCGAACGGTACCTGGGGCGCTCCTCCCCCTCATATTGTCGCTCGGCGCGGTATCCATCGCCGCCCTCTCGCTGACCGTATCCTTCCTGGGACCTATAGCCAGAATTCTCAAATTCATTGTAGCCAGGCTGCGGTCTACCATATCCAGAGGACCCCCTGTATATTGTGGTCAATATAAGAGACTAGCCAATAACAAATAATCAAAGTTAACTTACTGTCCATATTCCTCACGGGGAGGAGGGCCTCCGTGTCCATAGTGTGCCTCTGTACGCTGGTATTCGGATTGGCCACTTTGGTAGGTCTCCCGTGTCTGCTCCTGATAGTAACCCTGGCTTTCCGACTGGTATTGGTAGTGTTCCTCGCGGCGGAAGTTCTCCGCTGGAGGTGCGTAGCTAGAGTACCCATCGTGGCGCGCAGGTGGCTGTGGATAGACAGTTTCACTTTGATATTCGTATCCGTCGGGACGAGGACGGTATTCTTCGTGATGAACCGGGGGCTGACCGTAGCCTCCGTAGCTTGGTTCACTTGGCTGTCCATATCCACTCTGGTGAGTGGGCTGCATTTGACTGAACGAGTTCCCTCCATATTGCTCGTGGCTCTCATGTTGGGGTCGATTCTGGTAAGAACTCCCACTGTCATAGTTCTGAGGCTCTGGGCTCTCCCTGTCAGGCTTCGAACTGCTGTTGTTGAGAAGCATAGAGCCCATGCCTCCTACGAGTCCACCGAGTATACCGCCAAATGCGCCTCCTCCTACAGCTTCGGAGGCTAGGTTCTCAATACCAGGGACACCGGAGCCACCGGAGCCACCGGAGCCACCGGAGCCACCGGACCCTTGATCTTCACCAGAGCTGCCGTGAGACTTGGGAAGAGCAAGCGGCTTGCCACATCCGTGCCCGCAATCTTGCACGCCATCTTTATGGTTCCTGCCTTCAAGGACACCGTCGCGGCTCAGCTGCTCGCGGAGGATGTCCCGCTCCTCATCATCCTTCTCGCTCCACCACTTCTCGACCGTGGAGAACATGATTTGACGCATATCGACAGCTCCGTCACGTCCAGATTCACGAAGAGCGGGGTGATGGAAAACACCCGAGATGATTCTGTCGAGTGTCCGGTCGATATCGGCATTCTCATCGTCCCAGCATGACATAAGCTGAGGAACCGACCATTTGACAACAGCTGACGCAATACGACCAGCGGGCTCATTCAAAATGTTTGAGAAATGGTCTTTTGAGAGCATTGAGTGGGTCGGGTTTGAGCAGTCATCATCGTTGAACACAATGTGTTGTTGCTCCCGGCTGCTTTGGATCACTTCGGATGAACCAGTTTCAAGCTCGGACTTAACCTGCTTGATAATGGGAAGAACATAAGGAGCCAAAATAGAGAAGACAAAAATGGTGATTTGATCCTGAATTTGCTCGATCAGCTCGGGCAAGACTGGGATCTTTTCGATGGCCTCGTTGATTCGTTTCAACAGGTTGTCGTGCCACTCAAGGACCGGGTAGATCTGCTTCTGAACATTGTCTAGGTGGAGTGTCCACTCTTCAGGTTCACGCGGATTGATGTTTTCGCCGTCATGCTTGGCATCATCTGCCTTTGACTTGAAGTCATCCATCTGGCCAGTCTGGTCGCTGCTGTCACCAAGCAGACCATCGGGAATCTTGCTTAGGAGAGTCTGCAAGAAACTCTCGGAGGAATCCTGGTTCTCCGATTGGGCGACAACAGTCTCCAAGGATTCAATTTCAGACTGCATTGTTTTATCGGACAACTCTCCCAGTACGGAATGGAAGAAATCAACTCCGCCAAATGTACCAGTCACGATTGGATAGACTTCGTCATCGACACCGTTAACCTGTAGTTTAGTGTCACGTCCGACGTGAGGGAATACCTCTGTCTCTCCCAGTTCAATCAAACTGAGCTCAGTGTAGTTAGAGTGGGCAGCGTAATCTTCCAGGCAGTGCAATCCAGTGCCCAATAATCGTAGAGCTTCATATAGGTCGTCCTTGTTCCTGGATTGACCATAACGACGACCCATCTGAATTGAGCGACCGAGCACACGGCGAATCAACGCAGCCGAGGTGTTGATACCTACATCCTCCGTTGCGATGTAATGTTTCAAGCCTGTGTTTCCGGTTGGGTTAGTCTAATATCGACCACCGTAGGATCAGACTCCATACCGGTGCGGGGGTCCACTGAAAGCTCCCGCTCTTCGTCAACGGGGCCACGCAGTCGACGATCATAGTCACGCGCATCCTCCCCCGTGGCGTACCCCAGGGGGTTATCGATATGTTCCGTAGGTTGATAACATCCCAGGCGTTCCGTCGTGACCTCAAACTCCTTGGTTCCGTATCTTTTACAGGTCTCAGCGAAATGTCAAATCACCTCGATGTTCAATATCCACATTTACTACTCACCCAAAGCTCATGAAGCCTAGCACCCAGAGCAGGATACGGATAGCTTCGGCACTAACATATTTGACGGTGCCCACATCGACTGCTTGGCTGTAATCGCGTAACCAATTACCGAAGTAGACGCGCTGCACGTCCAGCTTGCCGAATTTCTTACCACCGGCGACTCTTGCCATATAGAGAGCCAAAAGGGCATCCTCGATGTCTCCATGACGCCAGTTTTGACCTTCGAGGCGGGAAAGGGAAGCGATGTTACCAGCGCCAAATGCATATGCCTGACCGGAGAAAGCAACCAGAATCAACAGGGACAACCCCAGGTTCTGCAGAGACAGACCCATGGTTGAGAATAGTACAATGATCGGGGGACGATATTGTATGTGCAAGAAAGAAGAAGGGAAGAAAAAAAGACCAAAAGAGAAGGGAAGAAGGCAAAAAATAGAAAGAGAAAGAAGAAAAGACCAAAATAGTCCACCCCACCATGTACAACACAAGTGTCAAAACATTCTTTTGGTGGGGGAGAAATGATCAGATGGGCTTTGCTGTGATATCTTGGCATTTCCTTGGCATCGGTCCGTATAGATACGTATGGATACGTATGGATACGTATAGATACGTATGGATACATATAAATACATATAAACCTTTTATACGGACAACATATTTCAGGGGAGTTATTGTATTATAAGGTACTATTCATGGTATTAGAAATGTTATATCTAAGAACTCTCTGGTGTGTGTTTCCCTTTTTTGCAATGTTTTTGTTATTTTTCTTTTTAATGTCTGCTTAGGTATATACGAAGGTAGTAGAAATTATAAACTGTGCAGAGGACTTCTCTATGTAACTCTAACCTTGGATATCGTGTAGATGGGGTGTGGATATGTAGGATTACGGAGTATAGGGGAGAGTATAGGGGAGTATAGGGGGGAATAAATTAAAATAAGATGAGATCAGACGAACTACACAAACTAATCAAACTAAACGAACTAATTTAAACTAATCGAAATAAACTAATCAAACTAGACAAAACTAGAAGAACTAGAAGGAATTGGAAGATCCAATAATAGGAGGAAAGGGGATAGATAAATATATAGGGGGAAAAGGGAAATAGGAGAGAGAAAGAGAGAAGTCAAAGCCGCATGCGGTCTCGATCCCGACTGTCTCCGGCTTCACCGCCGTCTCCTTTTTTTCTCTCCTTGAATGAATTATATCTATTGCTATTCCCCTCTCTCTAACTACTTGCTTACTTCCTTTCTATCTCTCTTGTCTCTCTGTCTCTCTATCTCTCTCCCTCTCTCTTCTACCTTTCAAGGTTCTACCCTGACCGCAAATGTCAGATCCTTTATCTCTCCCGCCATAAGCGCTTATCTTAGTCTTCCCTTTTCCCCGCTGATGTGCTGATGCGCTGATGCGCGCCCCCTCTTGATTACTACTATTACTTGGGATCTCTTACGATCTCCTCTTTTCACAATCTCCCCACTCATCCTCGGTCTTGAATTCTAAACTCCCCATACTCTGGTTCTCATTCAGCTGGTGTCGACAATCATGCATCACACAGTTCGTTACTAAAAAGCTGTGACTTGAAGAGGTTCCCGACCATGGCGCGCGCCGACGATTCGTACTCCCGTGAGTCGGCCTTTCCCGTCATGAAAAACCGACTGGTGGGGGAGTCTGGATCGCTCCAGCGTCCTATAAAGGCGAGACCAGGCATTGAAACTGGACGGGCTGCCTCTTATCATATCTTTCCATCTCGAGATCTCAACAACTCCCAAGATCAATTCTCCTCTTCCGATGTTCCCGACAACTCGCATTCTCCTGTCAACCTGAAAAAGCGCAGCTCCATGGCTTCACGCATCGCCATGCATGATACCACACCCGGCGAACAACCGTGGAACTCGGAACACGAGTTGATGAATGCTTCTGAGCACAACATATCCTCCGAAGCGCTTGACTCTCGCTCTCACAAAAGCAAATCCATGAAACCCAAGGTCCACATCAAACCTATTCTGCGGAAACTCTCCCGGGACGATGCGCCGTCGACCTCAATCGATCTGTCTCGATCCTCCACTGACCAAGAGGGGTTGGGTATTTACATGAACTTCGAGCGGGAGCAACGCAGCGAGGCCCTCGCAGGTGCGACTTACAAGAAGACACCTTCTGGTCTTCACAATCGATCTACCAGTGGAACATCTCAGTTCTCAAATGGCTCAGGTTCAACTGCGAGCAAGCCCGGATCACAGTACGTGCATCCCATGCGGCAGACGCCTCGAGCGTACACTCCACCGTTGGGCCAGTCCTACGAGGAGTTGAGCCAGGATAGCGAAGAATTGGATGAAAGCCCCGAGTCGGAACCTTCGTCTATCCAAGAAACCCGTACTTCTTCAGGCCCAGCCCTACCCCGACTGTCATTGCAGATCCAAGATGATTCTTTCACCCGTCTACCCGGGATTTCACAGACTAATGTGACCAGTCGACCGTCCTTTGGGTACTCACGGGAGACTGATGGTGCTGCCTCTCCGATGTCTAGAACGTCTCTCGACTTCGTTTTCCGATCCCGAACTCGGACTAGCACCGATCCTATTTCCCGTGCAGCCACAGTCCAGGCTGCCCGCCAGGCATTTGAGGAAAAAGAGGCCGCTAAAAACCGTCGGCTCGAAAAACAACAAATCAAAGCCGAAGAGAGAGGTTCCCGACGTCGCTTGAAACGACACATGTCGGAAGATCTTGAGTCTCCTGTGCAGTCTAGAGAGGAGATCTCCGAGAAGCCCCAAAGACCTATCGTGCATGGGAGCAAGGAGCCTTCGGCCTCATGGAAGTCCCAATCCAAGAGCACATGGGTTCTCTTTATGACCTGGCTTCGAACTCGAGTGTTCAAACTGCGACGAAAGATCAAGAAACTTCATTGATTCTAATATCTTTCGGACTTTTTTTCTTATGTTTTTTTCCTTTGTTTCACCCCGTTTTCTTTTTGATCCAAGTTCATACTTCCAATGAGCGAGCGATTTGTTTGTTCCCCTGGTGTTTGATCTAGGAGTTTTTTTTTTTTTTTTTTTTTCTTTTTCTTTGCACCTTTATGGGGATATGGCTCGATATGGGCAGGATACACGGCGTCCGAATTGCTGTCTTTGCAACGCATGCGTTTTGCCATCTCTAGGCAATCGCAGGTCGAATGTCCTAGGGATAAGGACATAGCATCTCCGAGGGCTTTTTTTTTTTAATGCATGGGAAACGAGAAATGTGGGATATGATTCCCCTAAGGTACCAGGCCAAATTATGAAATGAAATTCATACCATTATTCAATCGTTCTTTTGTAAATGTAAAAGGTTGAATGTTGTCAATGCCGTCAAGGGATATATGTAGTCACGTGTCTAAAACTGCGCTGTCCGCGTTTTCTCCAAATTCCCCCAAAGACTACGGCGCACAGCAGCGACAACAACCGCCTGATAAGCTCCACATCTTCCATCTCTATCTATTTCTTCCAACAGACGCGCCTCCACGGAGGGGAGCGTCTCCTTCATCATGGTGTACGATTGGTCTGGGAAGCGGGAAATCTGCTTCCAGATGTACATTCAGGAAAAGAAGGCGTTGGAGGAGATCATGGACTACATGCGAACTGCCTGTCAGTTTGCGCCAAGGTAAGTATACATCTTTGCCTTTATCTGTTGAACACCAATTGATTTTCGCTTCTTCTCTAGCAAACGTGCCTTTCAGACTCAATTCAAGCGATGGGGCTTTCCGTCGAAACAGAATCCAGCGCACAAGAATATCGAGCTCGTCGCCCGTGTCAAACAGCTTTGGGAACGAAACACAAGCCAGCGGGATATGCTTAGCATCTTGAATGATGAAGGCTTTGAGATTAAAGAGAGGGAATTAATGCGAGTGCGTGCAAAGAATCGCTGGCTGCTGCGAGTCCCCAACGGAATGAAGTCACAGTCAAATGTCGAGGAACAAACCATCCCGCCGGAGGATGAGGGCCTACTTGCCTTGCAACAGGAAGTATACAAAGTCGAAAGCGCACTTGATGATCCGCATCCTCTTCCTACACAACAAGATGCTGAACGTTCAACCACCGAGTCCCCCGCTCTTTCGCCAGAGGTCGTCGCAAAACGCCAAGAGCGACTGGACCGCCTAAAGACCGAAAGTGCAGAACGCTGGGCTTCGCGAAAACGTCGTCGTCGAACTCGAGGATGGGCCGGGCTGCCGGCTGACCCTCCCGGGCCTCCACGCTTTCCGTCGGAGACAACTATCGATGAGAGCAAGCAGTATCTTGACCTAGATCACACTATGTATCGCCATACCAGAGACCATTTCCAGCGAATCTGCGAAGAAGCAGGCTTCATCAAGAAAACCGCAGCTGGTCCTGAGAGATGGCAAGCTGCGAAAGACAAACTGATCCAAGAATCCCCACATCTCCAACGGGTGTTTAATACAGATCCTACTCAACGTGACGCGAAGGCCCTTGCCCTCGATGTTGTGTGCACCGATGTCACCAAGCGAATGCGGACGATGGAAAAACGCATGACAATCGCGGAGGCGAAAAACGCCCTGGGGATCAACCCGGAAGAAAGTCGACAGATCCGAAATGCGTTCTATGACACCTTGAAGGTGGATCATTTCACAAGCAAATTAGAGGCCGGCGATGAACACTGGAGAGAGCTCAAAGAGCAATGGATCGCGAACTCGGAGCTGCTTCAGCAAATCCTCGCACTTGGGCCAGCCGACCCAGATCATGGCAACAAACTAAAGGCTCTGGAAGTACTATGTCGCGATGTAATGAAGAGACTTCGAGACGACCAGACGAAGCGAGATCCGGCACGTAAGAGATCCTCGGCACGTGCCGAATCTCGAAACCCAACCCCAACAACCTCCTCTATGGGCAGCATGCTAGGCAACGAGATCAGCAATGGGATTAGTACTTTGGCCTCTCAGGCGCTGGCCAGTGCACCCATTACGGCTACTGAGATTGGCGATATGCAAATTGACCCCTCACTACTCCAGGCTGCGAACGACCCATCCTTCTCGGCCAATCCACACCACGACGCAGGCAATGGCTTTGAGTATGTGGATCCTATGCTAAGCTCCGCGCTACTACATACCCCTGTCTGGTTCCGGGTTGGTTCGAAGTATCAGTCGCAAGAAACAACCCAAAAACCCTGGCTCGAAAAACTAGCCACACGAACAGTGGAGGAGCTCCGGCAATTGATCGGCGCCAGGTATCCCTATTCAATCATCACCCGAATCGAGGGCATTGACAGGGATGAAGAAGGGAATGATATTCCATTCTCAATCGACGATGATCACGAATTGGATGCATACTTGACCCATGTCCACGGCAGGAAGGCGTTGCTTGATTTTACCTTGGGGCAGATCTGAAAACTGTCAGCCCTGGTGGCAAGGCGTTAGATTCGGTTTAGCTAAACAGCGTTATTATTCTCATTTTAGGATAACGAATGAAAATTTACTGTAAGGATTAAGATAAATAAGACGTTCTTTCTTCCTTGGTGGTTGGAATACATCAATCTCCGGTCCTCTAAACTCAAGTGCGCATTACGAGATGGTTGACACTACCAAGGGCTTGTGTAGTAAAAGATAAATCATGAAGTTTTGGGGGGCTACCTAAGGTGAACCATATACATATACTACATTGTTCGCTGTTCACAATTCCAATGTTCAATAACAGAAAATCCCTATCAACCGCTACACCCGTGCACCGAATAAGAAACCGCCGTAGACCAAAACAAGCAACTTAGTTGCCGCCGAGTGTTTGGACCACGTTCCTGAAAAGGACCCCAATAGCGGGCAAGGAGAATGATGGGGTCTCACCAAAGACACCAGCCAGTCCCTTGGTTTGAGCAGAAAAGTCTTCCACCTCGTCAGGTTGAGCGAGAAGCCTCTCCGGTCCCCGGTTGAAGAGAATTGCCAATCCATTATCGATTTGGCCGGACACATCACGAGACTGGTTGTTCTGGCTCTTCTGGGAAGCCTTATCCAGACAGCCAAGTCGCTGCACGGTTGCCGCGGAATCAACGACAATGTAATCACCAGAATAAGCATCTGAGAGCAGTGCAACCGGGGAGGTCTGCAGGATTTCCTGGAAGACCATTTCGAAGGATGGGACGTCGTAGATCTTGATTTGGAATCGGACCTTGCGTCGTTTCTTGTGTGACGAACTCGTAACAATTGCCAATGACTTCGTTCTCGCATTCGCGGCAATGAGCTGTGAGTTTCCGGAAGGCGAATCCACAGACTCTGACGACTGGATAGTCTTGACGACATCGTCGACCGTGTCCCAGACAGCCACCGAGTGAGTGGAAGCAACGATCAAATGACTTCCCAGGAAACTCGTTGAGCAAGGGTTTCCAAGGAAAACACCGGTGCGTCGGTAGTGCACAGAGCAGTTTCGTGCATCGACCAGGAGAACGAGGCCGTCATTTGCAGCCGACGGCAGGCAGACGGCCAGTACTGAACCATCCTCGGAGAAACTCATACAAGCCGCACCCAGAGGAGAATCTTTGGTTGAATTGAGACATCCCTTCAGGTCAACGGTACCACGACACTTCCATGTGTTCAGAGGCTGTTGTGGTTGATCTTTAGCCTTTAGCCCGCTTCGGTATTTCGCAGTTGGACACCAGAAGCGGAGAACAGAGTCGGCACCTAGGGTTGCAAACTCGTGGGCACCGGGCCGAGACACCAGACCAAGTACAGCTGAGTGGTGGTTTTTGGAGAAATGAGGACCGTCAACACGTGTGACCAGTTCCCATGTATCAGACGAAGCGTCCCACTTCCAGAACTTCAAAAAGACCTCCGGACGGAGGGTGGCGGTGGATTTAGCATTAGAAGAGCGATCCAGGGCTTCCACGTCCTGAGGATGGGGGGCCCAGGTGTCAACCGTAGCCAACCACTTCGCATCGTGCACTATATCCAAGTGCTTAACATCGGGTGCGACAATTTGAGACCCTTCAGGGCTGACGCTCAAAGTGGTCGCATTGGTTCGCGCAAGGGCTTGGCGGGAGATATTGGAGTTGGCACGGATATCATATGTCTGAAGCACAGCCGCATTTGCAGGCTGAGAGCCATGCTGGTTTTGAGTAAGCTGGTGGGAAGCGGGGACGGCCACAATCAATCGCTCTGGTTGCTGCGGGTGCAATTTCGCCACAACAGATCCTTTGGAGGATTCCACCAAGCCTGACATGTCTGGGCACAACTGCAATCCTGTGATGGTGGTGAGAGGTTGCAATTCTCTTGTCGACAAGATCATAACTGAGTTGTCGGCCAATTTAACCACATATGAGCTGCCACTGGTGGAAACGACGATGTTGCAGATAGGGGAGGAAAGATGAGGAAGGAATTGCTTCCGGCCAGTGTCCAATTGCCATAGAACCATGACCGACTCCTGACCACCCGAGATGATGTAGTTTCCTGACGAATGTGAGTAACACCTCTCTTGAAAACATATGTATACAAGTGGACATACCGTCTTTAGACCAACGCACAGTGCTCACAGAGCCGCGGTGCCAATGTAACTTCCTAGGCGAAGACCTCTTATCACTGAAATCCTTACCGAAGAGGGTATTTAAGACATTCTGGTAAACCAGGATAGAACCGCCACTCTCTCCTACTGCCAGATCAATGGATTCCGAGCCTTGGATTTGGATGTCAAAGCAAGTAGCATTGACAGGCAGGGTCGCCTCGCGCCAGGCGTACTGGACAGTCTCAAGGTTTCCAAGCTCTGCTCTGGTTGTACTACCCATAAAGAGATGCTTACCATCACTAGCGATGATCACTCGGCCATCATGGGTGACCTTGATACTATTGATCTTCTGGTTGGTCTCGAGGGCGGTGGTGCCTTGGATCTTCTTGTCCCCCAGTGTGTTGATCGAAATTTGTCTTTTTCCATCCTTTTGCGAGATGATAGAGAAGGAAATAGCAGCTGTGCTTCCTTCTTTTCCCACCGAGGCTAGGCTCATCGAAACGGTTGTGCAAGTGGTCTCCCAGCGGGCGATGCGCTTCCCGGAACTCCAATTCCATTTGCTGATAGAGCCCGAAGCCGTGAAGATATAGAGGCTTTCCTGGTCCTCGGGGCAGATGCTGAACCCAATAATCTGTTGGCCAGTCTCCATTTGCAATGTACGTGACAGGCGAGAGGTTGAGGTTGCGAATACTTGAACGGCCGTGTCAAGTCCCACCAGGAGATATCTATGATAGAGAAAAAAAAAGTCAGCATGTGTCTCACCTTCTGTAGACAGAAAAGAGTCCTCACGCTTCATCTTCGGTCAGAATTGGATCTAAATTGTTGTAACGACCGCCAACGGGGCGTGAGAAAGACCACGGCGCGGGGCTTTTTGACTTTGTCTCAACATCTTGTGTCTGGACATCGCCATTGGGACCCTCCTTCACATTGTCGGTTGGCTCAACGATCTGCAGGCTTTGGTTTTCGTTGGTCCCGGAGACTCTGCGCCTTTTGGATCGCTCTTCATTTGACCGGGTAGGCTTCTCGGAGGAGGCCGCATCGCTAAGCCGGGATCGTTTTTGCTGTCGTGCTGACTGATTGGCCACCATTTTTGCAGGTGAAGCAAGATGGAGAGAAAGGCAAAAAAAGAAGAAAAGGAAAAGACTGCTCAAATATAAGTTGGTGCGACTCAGACAATCATAGTTCTTGCAAATTGAGGCACAGTTGTAAAGACTTTAGTCTGGGGATATTCATAGCAGATCCGTCTACTTTTTTTTCCCAAGGGAAATTTAAGGCGGGGATATTTGGCAGAAAATCGCAGTTCTCCTGATTGGGTTAGATCGACCTTTTGATCTTCGCGGGAAAAAAAAGTCTGGCTCAAAGCGACATCATTCACCTCCAATCGACCTCGTTTGTTCGTTTCTTCATTCCTTCATTTCCCGAATCATATTTCAAGTTGAATCGCCGAAATGATTATCCCCGTCCGTTGTTTTTCCTGTGGCAAGGTAAGCAGCTACTTTTGAGTTCGTGATGATATATGATCCTTAACTAAAACTCCCGATTCTAGGTTGTCGGTGACCTTTGGGAACGTTACCTGCAGCTTTTGGATGACGGGGTTCCAGATGGGTATGACAGCCTCTCCAATCTATGAAGTTTATGTCTGGCTAACAAACTGTTTTTACAGCGACGCTATGGATCAGCTTGGCTGTAGGCGGTACTGCTGCCGGCGAATGATCATGACCCACGTTGATCTGATCGAGAAACTTCTCCGGTACGTCCCTAGTCTTTGGGATTTTGGTGATTGTTGCTCATTTTATACAGTTACAATTCTGCCGAGAAAGATCGCTCCAAGGCTCAAGTATAAAGCCAAACAAATTCTCACGCCAGTCAACCTGTCCATCGACTCAAGCTGAGGCTTTTCGGTCAAGAAATCACACAAATAGCCCATTCTCCCCTACTACCAGGTCACGCTAGGCCGACTTTTCACGTTCTGTGAGCAAGAAGACATTGGGGACAAATTGAAATTTGCGAAAGAAGAAACACCCACCCTCTAAGCTTAATGACGTGGTCATTGGTTTCTGGGTCTTCTACACCTTCAAATGCCGGTTTGGGGGATTTTCTGAGGGCAGTGAAGTGGTTGGAGATGCGACGGGTGACCCAGGTTCCACCGAATATGGGAGGAAGTTTCCTCAGGTGTTTCCAGTATTTGCATTTAGGGCGTTGCACTCTACACATATGGCGTCAAGGGAGGTATTTGCGTTTTGGTTATTATCATCTTCAATGAATTTCACAGCTCAACAGCTTGCAGTCTGGCCCAAGATCAGGAAAGCATCATTTGTAGCCCAACTCTACCCTAATTTCCTTCAAATCCCACTCTGTTTGGTTCTTTGTCCCTCTTCGTCAACCCTTGAACTATGGCCAGTTTCTCTCGTGCATAATGGCCCTCTTTTGGTTAGGAGTACATGTGTAGGTATATTAGATTAGTTGTTCCCAATCAGTCTAACCCGATATAAACGAGCATACTCCCCGCTCAAATGCCTCGGATAATCTCAGCTGGAGATCCATGCTAGATCTGCAGTGTACCCAATATGGATTTATCCCCAGTTTAATATGCGCTATTGAGGGGTCAACTAGGCGCCGTGATGAACATGCATCTCGAACTTCATCAGCCACTTAGATGGAGGGGAGCTGCATCGGACTATACCACATCCAGGACAAAAGCGCTTCCTTCAATTCCAACCAATTAGAGATCGAATATGCATTACAATAATAGCTAGTTACGGAGTAACTAACTATACAACCTTGGAATTGCTTCACTGTATACTTTCCTCAATGGCCTTTCTCGTTGCAATTGACCCTCAAATTTACATATTAGAACATTGCCAATGTCAAATGAGGAACTCCTAATCAGCGCTATATCTAATATAACATCCCCCTCCCCCTCCATCTCCTAACCATCCAAAGTATGAAGATGTATTGAAGCAATAAACATCACGTGTAGTATGCGCTAGGTAAGCGATAAGGGACCGGGCTTAGCTCCCTCAAGTGTTGCTCTCCCCTCCCATCCTCTTTTTTTTTCCTTTCCTTCCACTTCACTTGAGCTTTGTTTTCTTATACCCCCATATACACTCGGCCATGGCCGTCAGGTCACCGCTATCTGTCCTACCATACCGCGTCAACTCTACAAGTCCGGCCTACTATTCTCCACGCCCGGGTTCAATGTAAGACAGTTACTAGTCTCTTTAAGAACATCGCTGATGGATAAAAATAGGTCTCTCGATGGGATCCTTGATGGGAATGAGAATTCCCACTTCCCCGCTTCCGAGCCGATAAACAGCTTATCGGGGACCTCGGCCAATGAAGAGGATTGCGACGATTGTGATGATTGTGACGATTCAAAGGGAAATGATAGCTCTCCTGAGCCAATCCGTGGATCTGGAGTCACTCCTCAACCAGGGCTTACAGTATGTACAAATTGTGGGCTAGGTATCTCAGTTGGGCTCACGCTATATAGATTCAAACCGAATACCCAGACCATGTGGGAAACAGCAGATCGGACGACGATGAACCTCCCCAGTCGGTGATACATGCTCCGTCAGGATTCGGTGATTTTGTATGAATCCCACAAGGACTAGAGTCGCGTTGGCTAATAGGGAATCTACCTAGGCGCCAATGCAGCCTACTTTCAAGGGCACAGCGGAGTCACAGTCACCATCAGCCGGTTCAGATGAGCACACTGCCATAATAGATGTACCTACAAGGCCGCGAAAGGTATTTTCATGATAGCCCCTCGCCCCTTTATATATCTACTGAGAATTATCCATACAGTTCGGCAATAGTCCGATATCGCCGCCTCCGTTGACAACATCCCTCAGTATCGACAACGATTATACCGAGCGAGCGACACCACGCGCACAAACAAGATATGAGTTTGAAGAATTTGAGAGACGCACTCGTTCGAGTAGCCTACAAGGTACTATAACCAATTTATTTAAGGCCATGCGTCGATCCAAGATAGCCCTTGCTGACCCTTTTCCAAAGATATCCCTGAAGGTATAACATAGCCATGAACGCAGATATATTTGAGCTCTAGCAAATGAGACTAATTCTGACCTAGGACTAACCAGCAAAGAGGCTGAAATAAATGCCCTAAGAGCTGCTCTCGACGAATGCTGGACACTGTGCAATACGCTGGCCAATCTTAGTTATATCCATCGAGAACGTCTCCTGAAATCCCATAGTGATGATATGCAAGAGGATGCATGGCGGTCATGTTGGAGACTATGCCAGAAACTTTATGACACACGCGACGACGACTACGCATCGCAAATCCATCCGACTCTTGATCTCTGTCGGGATTTCTGCCAGGCGCTATTTGAAGCCCGTATTCGTGATACTGACCTATCTGACTCGGTTTTACGAGTGAGTTTTGAGTTGAATAACCATCTTTACAACACTCACGATCGCAACCTTCCCGATGCCTTCCGCGAAAGAACCTTGGATTTCTATATTACCTTGTGCCACCGTCTTATGAAGCAGCGCACCCGCATCACGGAGACAGACTCTCTGCTGAGTGCGTGTTGGACATTAGCCGAGATGTTGTTCAGCATTCGCCAGAGTAAGAGGGAAGAGAAGCCACTAGATGAGGAGTTATTAGGATCTGCGGTTCAAGCCTGCTGGGAGCTTTGCGATCTCTTCCGCGAGGGCTGGACCCTCCATAATTTGCGCAACTCGGATCGGGGAACACCTCGGCCGAGCCAAACCACGTTCTCGCAGGCATTCCATCAAACGTCGCAACAATCGGAGCTGGATTTTGGTGACCCAATGAGCCAACTCGGCAACCCCGAGACCCCAACCACCATATTCGAGGACACTGCAACGACCTCACCCGACGACGCCCCGATTCCGAATATACTTGTATTGGGTTATGGGAACGGGCATAGTAACCCTCATACCAAGTGGTCATCCAATGCATCCAGTATTTCGGAGCAATCTAGGTCATCTGGTCAGACAGCATCCTCGACCAACACAGTGACCACTATCTCGGAAGATCCGAACCTCACGCGACTAAAGATTCTGATTACCAAAGCTGCTATCATGAGTGGCTATCAACGGGGCGGGAAGCAGAATCTCTCGTCTTTTGTGAAATCACTTCCCTCGGATGCATTTGGGTCGGCCGCGTGGCAGACGTCCTTATTGAAGAATTATAGAAAGGTTGTGGCGTTTGACCCGACATTCAGAAGTGTTGGTCTGCAGGCCCGCGTGGGTGCCATTGATGTCGCGCATGCATGCCAAGCAATGCTGCAAAGCGGCCAATACTCCTGGCTTCGTGACCTCTACCGGCTCGTCTTTGGATTCCATATTGAAGAGGCGATGGGCCGCAAAGGTGTGATTATCCAAACTTAGCGTCTCGGCCGATCATGAGTCGCCATGTCGTACTGTTTCTTATTGAAGATGCTCAGCCCCATGGGAAAGGATCAAATTATCAATAACATTCGAAGTGGGGGGCGAGCTGTTTCTTCGCGTTCCTATTGTGTACAGAGGTGGTGATTCTATATTCCTTGTTTCGGGGTGTTTTCCCTTGGGGTGTTTTCGTTGGAGTTTGTGACGGTCTATATGTCCATGGCTCTGGATAGGATCTCAATCTGTTTCTCAGCCTCTATTACCTAAGATAATGAATGGCATAACTATGTATATATGTTGGGTGCCTGGGTGCCTTAGGCACCCATGGACCCATTATGAGACAGATCCACCCATGTAGATAGTTCTCTCGCTCTCTCCTCCTCTTCTTCCTTTCTCCTCCGTCCATTACAACCATTCTGAATCTATAGATATTGTTTCTTCATACAATCCTTCTTAGATTCCATATTAGGTTATAAGTACCTAAAAACTGCTAGCGGGACCACTAGCAGATTTTTCGCCCAATCGAGAATCGATCCTAAAACCTTTAAGACGAATTATATCTCCGACTATCGACGATTATATCCGACTCGGAAAACGGGGATAGCAACCCTACCGAAATGCTATACTCGCTACCCCTCCGTAGTAATAATAGCTCTTAGAGCCGCGGTACTACGAATCACGCGCCCGCCCCTACCGCTAACGACGTTAATATTCCTATTACCGTTAAGATTACTTAAGCCGATAACGTACCTAAGATTATATCTATAAGACTATTGAAGATCGGCCTTCTCGAGTATAAAACAAACGACCCTCTCGTCTAGAAAGTCGCTATAGAGTTCGTATTAGCTTTTTTACATATTGAAGCTATTATTAATAGTAATATCGCGAGACCCTCGGAGGACTATCTAAGATACGATAAGTAGGTATTCTAGTCTTATATAATTATAAGCTAGATATATACCTAGATCGATATAATCCTTTAAGGAAGAATCCTAAATAGAGCTATCCGTCTAGAATACGCTAATAAAATAATAGACGAGATTATGCTTCTAATTTACAGTAATAATAAAGTAGATACTACTTTAAATAAAGTTAATTGCTTTATAGATATTAGCACTTCAGCAGATAATATATTATAGTCTATAGTGGACTATAATATTTCTAGTAGGGAAGTAATATTAGGTAAGCTTATATCTTATATAATTAGGTTATATAAGATATAACAAAGGATATACTTAGCTAATGAAGCAATTGGAGTCGGTAAATACGTTGATTGTTATTATTGTTCTAAGTTAATATATTGGCTAGTAGGGAGAGTTGATCCCTTATATAGCTAGTTAGGAGGCAATAGTAAAATAGGATATAGCCCCCTAGTAACGCTATATTATCTTACGATAATATAGAATGACTTTAATATTTATAGCGATAGTAAGTAAGTTATAATATAGTTTACTATAGATTATATATCTAAGGATTACTTAGATAGTACCGGTAAAATATATATAACTTCCTTTTATAC